TCCCTCTCACTCTGCCCCTTCCCTGCTCATGCTCTGTCTCTCTCAATAATAAATGTTAAAAAAAAAAAAATTAAGAGAAAAGATCATGTTACGTGGAAGACTGGAGAACATTTTATTGTTACTTGAATATATTTCACTGTGTGTTAGAAAAACAATAGGATAAAATAGTCACAGGCATGATTAAGTCATTTAAAAAAACAAAACAATAGGTGATAAAGCAAATGTGACACATTGTTAACAGTTGGTTAATCTAAGTGAAGGGTACATTTTATTTAAGAGTTCATTGTGCAAGTATTCTAGTAGTATTTCTGTATGTTTGAACTTTTTCAAAAAGTTAAAATGGATGTTAAGCCATAAACCTTCAAAATATGTTGGTATTATAAAAATCCAGGGACTATCTGGTTATGGCTAACTTATAACGAATGAAAAAAAGATATCCTTTCTTTTTAATATGTATTTATTTATTTTGGAGAGAGAGCGTGCGCAAGCAGGGGAGGGCAGAGAGACAGAGAGGGAGACACAGAATCTGAAGCAGGCTCCAGGCTCTAAGCTGTCAGCACAGAACCCAATGCAGGGCTCGAACTCACAAACTGTGAGATCATGATCTGAGCCAAAGTTGGACGCTTAACCGACTAAGCCATGTAGGTGCCCCAAAAATTAAAATAGATTTAAAAATTTGAAAGTGGTATAGACTAGATTATTTCATTTATATGAAGTTCAAAAAGAAGAAAACTAATTTGTGGTGGTAGTAGATTTTTATTTTTCTTAAAGGTTTTATTTTTAAGCAATCTCTACACCCAGTGTGGGGTTCAAACTCACAACCCTACGATCAAGAGTTGCATGCTCTAGCAACTGAACCAGTCAGGCGCCCCTATTTTATTCTGTCTTTTATTATAGGTTCTTTTGAACATCCATGATAATGAAATTGTTGTGGGCATTGCATTGACAGAAGAGAGTCTCCATCGAAGAAATATCACACATTTTGGACCTACAACTCTGAGATCTACTCTTGCCTACGGGATGCTCAGGTAAGAGAATGGGTTTGCCATCTAGATTAAAGTGACATCTTGGTTTGAATTTTCCCTTTAAAACACTTTACTTTTTTGTGAAGTACTGTGTTGGATTTTGGTGGGTAAACAACAGGATAAAAAGGTAATAGTCTCTTTCTTTCTCTTATATCCCCTGTTGATTCTTTGTGGTCCTGAAAATATCATTTAACTACTGTCTCAGCTTTGTTTTTAATGTTTATTTTGAGAGAGTGAGAATGTGTGACCCACACATGCACGTGGGTAGGGGAGGGGCAGAGAGAAAGGGAGAGACAGAATCCCAAGCAGGCTCCATAGTCAATACATGGAGCCCTACTATGTGGGGCTCAGTCTCACCACCATGAGATCATGACTTGAGTTGAAATCAAGAGTTGGACACTCAACCAACCAAGCCCTCTTAATTTTCTTGTTTTTGTTTTGTTTTGTTTTTATTTATTTACTCACAGAAAATGTGAGCAGGGGAGGGGCAGAGAGAGAGCAGGAGAGAGAATCACAAGCAGGCTCAGAGCCTGGACAAGAGCTGTGATTCAAGAGCTGTGAAATCATGACCTGAGCCGAAGTCGGACACTCAACCGACTGAGCCACGCAGGCACCCCTATGTGTAATTTTTTTTAAGCTCTAGGATATAGAGTCAGCCTATAATTACAAATTGATTTTTTTTTTTTAAGTTTTTTTTTTTTTTCAACGTTTATTTATTTTTGGGACAGAGAGAGACAGAGCATGAACGGGAGAGGGGCACTCAGAATCGGAAACAGGCTCCAGGCTCTGAGCCATCAGCCCAGAGCCTGACGCGGGGCTCGAACTCACGGACCGCGAGATCGTGACCTGGCTGAAGTCGGACGCTTAACCGACTGCGCCACCCAGGCGCCCCACAAATTGATTTTTAAAATGAATATTGATTGGTGTTACTTTATGCTAACATAATAGGTCCTTGATCTTACAGCTTCAGGAATAGTCTGTGTGAAAGTCTCAGCTATTGATTGAAGTCTTTTTATATAAGCTATTTTCTTTCCTATAGGCTCTGTGCTCCTCAACCTACTGATATAATAGTTGATCCGATGTGTGGAACAGGGGCAATACCAATAGAGGTAATAACTTTTCTTTACCTTTTAGATAAGCATGTGATATATCAAGTGTTCTGGAACTAATGGGCAAATTATGAAATCACCAGCATGGGGTCAGTGGACCTAAAAGTGTTAAAAGAAAATTAAAAAAAAATAATAATAATAAAGAATTATAATAGTAAAGCTCGAATTTTTGTGTGAAGGATATAACCACCTATTACAACTAGCTAAGGACTGATATATTATAAGTGATGGTTACTCCGTGGATTGCAGCAGAGGCTGATAATTACAAACTGGTGAGTCCCTTTTCTATAAAAGACAAGTTGGTAGACTTGAACAGAAAAGATATTGAAGGCATAAGCAATAAACTGGAGGAAGGTGTTTCATCTCTATAAAGTGAGATTATGCTTCTTAACCCACTTAGGTTCTTAGAGGGAGTAAATATAGTTGTAAAACAGAAACCTATGCATGTTATTTAGATTTTTTACGAAGTCTAACAAGGTCACACATCAAATGCTCTTAAATAGTTTTCAAAATTACTGATACTGAGAGGATTCAAAAACTGTAAAGCAAGGGATAGAAAGGCATTTTCTAAGTGGAGAATATTTAACAAGAGACTGAGTCTCCTTGAATCAGTATTATCTATACTTTTACAAATAATTTGGAAGAGTGTACTTCTGTTTAAAATTACTGGGGCGCCTGGGTGGCTCAGTCGGTTAAGCGTACGACTTCAGCCGGGTCACGATCTCGCGGTTTGTGAGTTCGAGCCCCGCGTCAGGCTCTGGGCTGATGGCTCGGAACCTGGAGCCTGTTTCCGATTCTATGTCTCCCTCTCTCTCTGCTCCTACCCCGTTCATGCTCTGTCTCTCTCTGTCTCAAAAAAATAAATAAAAACGTTGAAAAAAAAATTACTTAAAGTTATGAATCATGGTATGTTCTTACATACAGTATACTTAAAGCCAGCGGGAATATACTGAAGAAGATATACACATTCTGTGAGTGGGCAGAATCTGGACAGTCCAAAGCAGCCACAAAGGGAAAAGTAATCTAAACTACAGTTAGAAAATGACATGTTTCATCTGGGAGTTGAAATTCCAGAAGGAAATCTTTAATAGTCTAAAAGACTACTATTTTCTGGTAGTGTGAGCTAGAGAAATTGACTCTCGCTAAAGGAATGCACACAGAAAACTCAGTTGCTGTGAAGAAAAATTCTGGGAACAAAGCAAAGTGTTATTCTCTAGCATTAAACCATGACGTGTCTATGTCTGAAATAGCATGGAAAGCCATAAAATGTCAAGAAATATACCACAGAGCTAGAGAGAGTCGAGAAGAGCCCCCCCTCCAGCTGAAAAAGATTAAAAAAAGATTGAGGCATTTCTACCTAAGAGTAGACATGAGGGTGTCAATATTGAAAAAACGAAGCTGCTATATAATCAGAATGAATAAGTATGAAAGGAATTGACAGGGTATGTATACAGAATTGTTCACCATAGTATAAAATACCTGATCTAGAGTACTCTTTAAAACTTTGTAAGTTCTATAAAATTCATCTCTTTCAAAAGAAGCTGAAAATCTAAACACGTTTAGACCAAAAAAATGAGTGTTGGGGAATCACAATCATCTGAAAGGTTTTCATCAAATTCTGAGGGTCCTTTCTACATCACCCTCAAGTGTGTGGGCAAAAGAAAAGGTGATGAAGCCTTGTGTCCGTGGATATGGGTTATTACTCTTTACAAAAGAAGAGTCCTAAATAGAGGGCAGAACTTTCATGTCAGACACCTTCTATTAATCTACCTAGAACATTGTTCAGCCTAGGGTAGTGTGTCACCTCCTTCCACAGATGAGATGTAAGATTGGTATTTATGATCTGTTCACATGTTTTTGACTTAACATTACAAAATCCTTTCAGGGATGTGGTGGTTGTCATTCAGAGGCCTGTGCCATGGTTATTACATTTTATTTTGAAATTTTCAAATATTCTAATATATCAGATTCTATAAAATTCTGTGATCACAAAGGGTATAGGTTGGTCACTTTAATTTGGTTACATTTTCAAACCATGTTTGTATTTTAGGTCTGAAATGCCTACTATGTGCCAGACATTGCTAGCTGAGGGATTGAATAAAATACGACACTTGTCCTTAGGGAGATTCCTTGAGAAGCAGACAAGTACAGAAATAATTAAAAAGAAGTACAGTGGCAGAGTATGTACAAAATGCTTTGGGGTGGGGAGGCAAATGAGAGGCAGCTTGGAGAGTTGGGGTTGATGTGAGAGGGCATGACATTTGAACTAGGTCTTGAAAGATAGGTAGGAATTCAGCAAGTGAGAAAGAACAGAAGGCCTTTTTAAGCAAGGGGAATAGCAAAGTTCACAACATGCAGTGTTCTGTCACTTAAGAAAAGCATTGGGTTGGGGCGCCTGGGTGGCGCAGTCGGTTAAGCGTCCGACCTCAGCCAGGTCACGATCTCGCGGTCCGTGAGTTCGAGCCCCGCATCGGGCTCTGGGCTGATGGCTCGGAGCCTGGAGCCTGTTTCCGATTCTGTGTCTCCCTCTCTCTCTGCCCCTCCCCCGTTCATGCTCTGTCTCTCTCTGTCCCAAAAATAAATAAAAAACGTTGAAAAAAAAAAAAAAAAAGAAAAGCATTGGGTTATTGGTTTGATTGTCTAGTTTATTGACATTCGTTGAAATTATTTTCCCTTTAATCATTTTTGGGTTTTTTTTTTACAGTTTGCTACTTTGGTTTTAATATATACTATTTATTGTCTTTTAGGGGGCTACTGAATGGTCTAACTGTTACCATATTGCTGGTGATAATAATCCGTTGGCTGTGAATAGAGCGGCAAATAACATCTCATCTTTATTGACCAAGAGCCAAATTAAAGAAGGGTAAAAATTTAATTTAAAAGATTTTGTACCATTTCTTAGGCTTACATAATCACTTTTCTTACCGACTTTATGAATATATTAATTCATATCCCCAGTGCATGGTCATGGTGACATCCTCATAACCAAAATGAATACTATGAGACTTCATTAAATTTTAAAACCGTTTATTGAGAGGCGCCTGGGTGGCTCAGTCGGTTAAGCGTCCGACTTCGGCTCAGGTCATGATCTCACGGTCTGTGAGTTCAAGCCCCGTGTCGGGCTCTGTGCTGACCGCTCGGGGCCTGGAGCCTGTTTCAGATTCTGTGTCTCTCTCTCTGACCCTCCCCCGTTCATGCTCTGTCTCTCTCTGTCTCAAAAATAAATAAACGTTAAAATTTAAAAAAAAAACAAACGTTTATTGAAAATAACTTAGAACATGTTTTTTTTTATTTAACTATAATTTCCCCACCCTCATGCAACTATGTTTATTTCTGTCTTCTCTTTCCTTATTCATGTATCTTTTTTTCCCAAATAGTGGAAGAATATTGTGTTGACTTATTTCAGTTTTTACAAATTTTCAAACACTTTGAATATCTTTATATAGTCTGTTTTTAATAACTGCATAGTATTTCATTGTGTAGAAATACTACAGTCCATTTAGCCTTTCCTCTATTATTTGGCACTTTAAAGCAGTCTCAGAATTAGAAGAAACCTGAAAGCCATTTCCACAGTACCTGAGTGTTCTGTAGGAGATCCTGCCAGTGGCCTTCCAGTCCGTGTAACCATCTGTAATGACCTTCTCTGGAGGCTGTCAATTTGGTCTTTGCACAGCTTTGAGTGCTAGTCGTATCTTTTAGTGAACTGAATTTCTTTCTGTACCTTCTATAGACTTTTTGTAGTTCCACTGGGATCCATAAAGAAAAATCTTATCTCTGGGTCACACAGTGATTGACATTAGATATTTGAAGAGTTACTAAAACTCCCCTTCTTGCTGTCCCACTCCAAATCCACTCTTCTGCAAGCAAAATAGTCCAAGGTCCTTCTCCAACTGTATCCTTTTGATATCTGTGCACTGGAAGTCCATTGGCCTCTGGGAAATTTTGGTTTTTATCTGAGCTGTATGTTGTTACTGTATCTTAAGCCCTGGCTCACTACTCCAGATTATATTCAGTGCCACCACCTGTGCCAGCCTCTCACTATCCTTTTAGTTTGGGCCATCTATGGGAGAATTGGTTGAAATGCCACTTGGTTTTCTATTTATCATTAGAGGCCTCATCATAAAATTGTTTCTCTCGTCTCCTCTGCTGGTGGCCTTCACTTTCTTATAAAGTGGCAAGAATAGGTAGTGAGTGATCAGCAGATTTGTTCAAACATACAGATGCTCCACATTCTGAATACACGGCCCAGGGACATCATTATACCAAACCTAAAAACAGCTGCCTCCTTTTTTTTTTTTTTTTCAACGTTTATTTTTGGGACAGAGAGAGACAGAGCATGAACGGGGGAGGGGCAGAGAGAGAGGGAGACACAGAATCGGAAACAGGCTCCAGGCTCTGAGCCATCCGCCCAGAGCCTGACGCGGGGCTCGAACTCACGGACCGCGAGATCGTGACCTGGCTGAAGTCGGACGCTTAACCGACTGCGCCACCCAGGCGCCCCAACAGCTGCCTCCTTAATGTGAGGTTTCTGTTTGTAAGTGAAATCAGGGGTTTTAAAATACATATAGTCATTTGATGCAGATATTACTTACACATATTTATTCACGTATTATACCATGTATTATACATGGTATGCCTCATATTGTTTTATGTCTGTATGTCAGTTATCCTCTTCTTTGCTATTTTTTCCCCCTTTTAGATTAGAATCATCAGTGCTTCGTTTAGTTCTTTCATATACTGTTCTGTGAGTTTAGTTTATGCCTAATGCTTTTCATTCCTATTTCCTGTTGAGGTTTTTTAAATTTGTTACCTAAAAGCTTAAGTTACAGGCTATCAATGTTGTTGACCATATCCTATAGATTTTGACAATTCTCTATTTTTCTTTTTAAATTCCTGGTTGTGTACTTCTCTCTCTGATCTAGTTGTTTAGGGCAGTGCTTTTCAAACTTGAATGTTGCACATGAGTCACCTGGGGATCCTGTTAACTACAGGTCCTGATTTAGTAGGTTTTGCATGGGACCTGGGAGTTTGCGTTTCCTAGCAAGCTTATGGGTAATACTGATGCTGCTGGGCTGTGGTCCTACTTTAAATAGCAAGGGTTTAGATCATTTTTTTATACATAAGTAGTTGAAAGGTTTTAATTCATTTTTACATTTGTTTTATTGTGATGAGTTTCTATGGTACATTTTGTTTCATGTTTATCGAAATTTTCTTAGGGCTTAGTAGTCACCAGTTTTTTTTGAAATGTGATAAATATTTTTAAGCAAATTATTTCTTTTGTGTTTTCTGAATATTTTATCTTAATTGCTTTTCAGGCCCTCTGTACCTTGTCTATTCTACCTGTACTATTTGTATCAGTCTATCTAGATTTTTAATATTGTTTTCCTCATTTCTTATTTTGTTGCAGTTATTCGTGCCTGTGATTATAAGACTCATTTTTTTTTTTAATTCATTTATTTTAAGGGAGACAGCAAGCAAGTGGGGGAGGGGCGGGGAGAGAAAATCCCAAACATGGCTCAGATTCACAAACCTTGAGATCATCATGACTTGAGCTGAAATCAAGAGTCAGACGCTTAACCGACTGAACCATCCAGGCGCCCCAATACTGATATTTTCGTTATCTGTGCTTTTTTTTCTCCCCATTATGGAGTGAGTGCCTTTATTGTACATTTTAAGTTCTTCACTAACTCTGAATATAATAATTCATTTCTACTCATAATCCTTGAGTTGCTTTTATTTTTTTTATTTTTTTATTTTTTTTCCAACGTTTATTTATTTTTGGGACAGAGAGAGACAGAGCATGAATGGGGGAGGGGCAGAGAGAGAGGGAGACACAGAATCGGAAACAGGCTCCAGGCTCTGAGCCATCAGCCCAGAGCCTGACGCGGGGCTCGAACTCACAGACCGCGAGATCGTGACCTGGCTGAAGTCGGACGCTTAACCGACTGCGCCACCCAGGCGCCCCGAGTTGCTTTTAATTCTTAGCCTGTGCATTACTGTCTTTTGTGTTTTTTCATACCAATGGCTTTGACTTAATGAGAATTTATTTCATTTACTATAGTCCTTATCTTCTGTCATCTGTTTTTTCAGCCTTTTTCTTTGCCTTATTTTTTTATAGTAGAATACATGTTCTTTAATTTTCAAACAAGTATCTCTGTATCTACTAATTTTACATATCTGTTTCTTTAGGTCTCCTGTTATTAGTACCGAGACTTACCAAACTAAAGAGGTGTCATCTCATAATCTTATTCCTGTGTGCATCGATGTTTTACATTCTCAGTTACATAATTTACTGCCTCATTACTGTTGCCATCTTTACAGTTCTTTGTGTTGCAATCTTGTTTACCCCTTTAGTTTTTCTTAAATTGTAGATGAAACCAGACATCTTTTGAAAACCAATCTTAACTGCTTTTTAAATCATCATTAGATTTTGTCATCATAAAAGTTTTATCACATGACTGTATGCGTTCTTCCGACATTCTGCTTTGAAATTTTTGTTTAAGTTAATGTTTGTCACTATCATTTTAGTAGCATTTTCTACTTTATATCAGTCTCTTCAGAAATGTTTTTAGATTTCATACTTCAGAGTAAGCATCTTTCCTTTGTCCCCATAGCAAAGTGTCCTGGGGCTTGCCCATAGATGCTGTTCAGTGGGATATCTGCAATCTGCCATTGAGAACCGGTTCTGTGGACATTATTGTAACAGACATGCCATTTGGAAAAAGGTGGGACCTGGCTTTTAAAAGATTAGTTTTACCTTCACTTGTTAAACTAGTACTGAATTTGTCTTCTAAATCTGTTCATTTCTTTGAACTTATTCTATTAAGAATTATGAAATGATAAAACAAATTATATGATAGATTCACCCAATTTGTTTCTTCTGAGAACTCATGAAGTAACTACATTTTGATCTGACTGTCACAGGTTAATCCACTTCCTGGCCCATTGTTGAATTACAGGATACTATACAAAGGTTGAGGAAAACTTGGTTCTATTTCTCAGGATAAATGTTTTCTCATCATTGGTTTGGTTTAGATGTTTATTTTACTCATTACGAGAACTACTAGAGGTGTCAAAAAAATTTTGTAGCCAGTTCATCTGATTCATTATTTCTAAGCAGTTTACTAAATCTGATCACTCATTTCATTGGCATATACAAGTGAAGCTGTGGCTTCTAAAGGACAACTGTTTTGGCTTGAGAATTTTCTTACTGTAATGAGTTTTTCACTTCTCATTTCATGTAGTCCTAGTTGTTTATCTGTTAAGTGTTTGATTCACTGGACCTTCTTTTATAGGATGGGCTCCAAAAAGAGAAACTGGAACCTTTATCCAGCTTGCCTACGGGAGATGAGCCGCGTCTGTAGACCAGGGACAGGCCGAGCTGTGCTACTTACTCAGGACAAGAAATGCTTTACCAAGGTGCTGTAAATTAGCCTCGGAACTCACCCTGTGGCAGCTGTAGGATCTTTTAATTTAAACTTAGGGATATTAGTTTGAGTAGGATTTGTTTGCTCTTCCCCCCCAGTTTCTTTCAACAAGACCTCTGGTTGGTCTATAAGCAGACTTTCCGCTAATTACTTCTGTGCTTTTTGTGTATACACAGGCATTATCCGGAATGGGACATGTTTGGCGGAAGGTGCATACCGTCTGGGTGAACATAGGGGGTCTTCATGCAGCAGTTTATCTTCTGAAACGTACACCTCAAGCTTTTGTTCATCCTGTAGAACAAAATGGGGAAAGAACTCCTTGGTGATGCAAAGAATAGAGATGGTTTATGGTATTTGTGCCTCTTGACACTGGGAATGTCAGCATGTAGTATTTGGTTTGAGAGAAAAATAGCGTTAATAAAATTGCAGATTAAATTGGTCGAAAGCTCTTCACCTTAATTAGCAAAAGGAATTGAAAGTCTTAAGCAGAGCTTTGGAGCTTTTTTCAAGGAGTAGCTAGGCAATTACTACTGAAAATGCTTTCAAGATCCAAAGGCTACTAAAATGCTCCGGGATTTGAGTTTCGAGTATTTCTTTTCAGGCTTCATAGCAGTTCCTATTTTCCATTGTAGCAGGTAAAAAGCTACCCTGGCCTAATGGAAAAGAAAAGAACATAATGAGAACATTTTGGGCCACACTGCATTGTCTATGCAGCTTTGCTCTTTAGTTTTTTGAGTTGGCTTTACCTCACCTTTAAAAAAATGAAGCATTTACATTTTGTGAAATAGTGTTGGCCCCATGACAAGATGAAATCTCACAAGACCAACTGGAAAGTTTACCATCTGCCTTACAAATTAAAATATGCATGTTATTGAAATCAATACATGAAAATAGAGGACTAGGACTGATTAAAGGAATGGCAGATATTTTACTGTTAGCAGTATAGGACATTGCTGTTGTAAACAGCAAATACACTGATGGGACCAACAAGCCAAACTTAATTTTTCTATCAGCACAGAAAGTCACACATTAACCTGCCAAAAGTATTTTTGTTTTTAAAATGACTGCAGACACACTGATGTATCTTTGAATTAAAAACTTTATGAGAATTCTATTTTCTCTTGGATCTGTATTCATATTTAGCTGTTTTTCCAGTTGCAGAAAACTGAGACAGTAGAAAATAAAAAGAACATTAAGTCCTTGTGACAGTGGTGCTTGCCTGGGACAAAGAGTGGTTGGGTACATGTGGGATTCTTTATAGTATTCAGAGTTTATTTGGGAGTTTCTGGCTGCATTCAGCCTAGATTTTCAGTGTCCTGTTAGTAATATATTAGTACTACTCATCCCCTTCTTAAATAGCTCATGTTCAGACACAGCACTTCTTTCTTTTGAAAGAGTTCACACTAGCAGCATAGCCAACAGCCCTAGTAGTCTGGTTTCTCTCTGATCTACTACCCCATACTTCAGAATGAATTAGAAATGAGACATTTATAAGGGGTGTGTATCCTAGACTGGAGTTTTTACTATCAGAATGCACAGTTACACTATTTTGGGTTCAACATAAAACAATCTTTCACATCTAATACACCATTTCACATTTAATACACCATTCTGTTGGTCAGTAATCTGCAGAACTGGGAAAGTACAAGGGCCATATCTCTTGTCACCACTGTTTACCATGTGCCTGACATAGTACCTACCAGCGTGGGCATAGTTGCTAATAAACAAATATTTTTGCATGTTGGCCTAATTTTTAATTGTAACAAACTTGGGTTTGAGCCATCATAGCTTTAGTTCTATGAAATACCACTGTAAAAACATGACAAGACTAATTTTAAGATGATGCACATATGCAGTGTACACTCTCTACCACTTTGCTATCTTCCTCCCATTAGGTTTTTTAATATGGTGACAGAACAGGAAATGGGCTGAAGACAAGAACTGGGATGGAGCTATACATGATGCAATCACCAAGTAGTTATGTGACCTTGAACCAGGCCTCCTGTACCATGGGAATGTGAAAAGGGAAGGGAATCTGGACACAAAATGACTTAAGTTATGAACCAGACATTCTGTTATTGTAAGAGTCCATAAACTTGAGGGAAAGAAAAAATAAAAGATTTCATAAGTTTAATGGAAGTATGACGGTTATCTCCTAAGGACTGACAATGTCTAGGGCTAGAAAGAGAAACATTTGTTGAAATGTTCCTTTTAAAATAGTAGGAAGACTTTCAGGAAACTGCCAAAACTGTAGGTTCTGGTATATCCATGTTAGATATGGCTCAGGTCTCCACTGCATGGGCCCAAAGCTGAAGATTGAAAAAACAGTATTTTTAAAAGGTCTGTAAAATACCTAGTCCAGTAAAGCTTATGAGTGTTTAATATTAGTGAGTTAAGCATAAAGATAGATATTCTTATTTTCAACACAGCTTTTCCCAAGTTTAGGTGAGGTGTTTTGTGGGAATTTCAGGGGATATGGTGAAAGTTTTGTACCTTGGTACATTTCTTTTCTTTTTTTTAAAGCTCAGAGGAAACCGGTCTCTCCACCAAATTTTAAGAATGTACATACAGGGCGCCTAGGTGGCTCAGTTGGTTGAGCGTCCGACTTGACTTCAGCTCAGGTCATGATCCTACGGTCATGGGATCCAACCTCCACATGAGCATAGAGCTGGGTTAAGATTCTCTCTAGTGTCCCAACTTCAGCTCAAGTCATGATCTCATGGTTTATGCTGAGCCCTGCATTGGGCTCCTTGTTGTCAGTGCAGAACCAGCTTTGCATCTTCTGTCTCCCTCCCCCTGCCCCTCTGCTGGTGATGGTTCTCTTTCCCAAAAATAAACATTAAAAAAAAAAAAAGATGCACTCTGTATTTTCACAGAAGTTAACTTTATTTTCGACAGTGATGCTGTTTTATATTATTGCAACTCATTTACATGTCTGCCTTAATAGAAGGCACTGGATTTTTATCTTCACATTCAATTGGTTGAGATGTTAACTTATTTGCAACTTTTTTTTCTTTTCATGTATTGGTCATTTGGAAATTATGGTTTACTGAGTTACATAAATCTCCCAAGCCCTGGTCCAGTTTATAATATCTACAAATCATATTTATATCACCACTTAGCTCATTAAAAAAAAAAAAAACCCAAAAGTTCCTTTAATCATTAGGAAGATGAGAAACTCCTGATAGTGGGTAGAAGTTTTCCCAAATTCTAATTTTCACTTCAGAGTTTGAGTTTATCACTGACAAGTGCTGTCAACTGTTTTCTTTGAAAGGTACTTCTTTACACTTAAAAAAAAAAAAAAGTGCCTGCCAGGGGCGCCTGGGTGGCTCAGTTGATTAGGCCTCGGACTTCGGCTCAGGCCACCATCTCAGAGCCTGGAGCCTGTTTCAGATTCTGTGTCTCCCTCTCTCTCTGACCCTCCCCCATTCATACTCTGTCTCTCTGTGTCTCAAAAATAAATAAATGTTAAAAAAATTTTTAAAAATGTCGGCCAGACAGCCAACTCTGACAGTCATTGAAGTAAAAATGCTGTGAAAAGAAAATCACTAATTCAACCTGACCGCTTTTTCGTAAGACAACCACTGTACTTTAAACAAGAAGCTGGAGTCCTATATGCAAACTTTGTATTTCAGTACTCATACTAAGACAGGGAAGGAGGCAAACCATAAGAGACTCTTAAATACTGAGAACAAACTGAGGGTTGATGGGTGGTAC